CTCACTGATTCGTCTAGGATGCCTGGGCAGTGAGCTGCAGGGATTTGCGTGTCTATCCCGTCAGTAGCCCTGGAGTTACAGATGCATGCTGCAGGGTCCATGCATGCTGCAGGGTCTAGGCATGCCACAGGGTCCAGCTTTTGCATATTTTACCAACTGAGTGGTATTTCCAGCCTGAAAATCAGCAACTGTATAAAAAGAGGTCCATGACCTAGTTTGCTTTCTATTGCTATGGTAAACACCACGGTCAGATGCAGTTGGAGGAGGAAAGGATTTATCTGGCTTATTTTTCCATGTCACAGTTCATCACCATGGGAATCCATGGCAGAAACTCAACACAGGAACCTGGAGGAAAGATCTGAACAGGGACCATGGAGGAGCACTGATATAGGATTTCCCCTCTGTGAGCTATGAATACATTTTATTACCATTGGTTAATAAAGAAGCGGTTTCAGGGCTGGAGAGATGGCTCAGTGGTTAAGAGCATTGCCTGCTCTTCCAAAGGTCCTGAGTTCAATTCCCAGCAGCCACATGGTGGCTCACAACCATCTGTAATGAGGTCTGGTGCCCTCTTCTGGCCTTCAGGCATACACAGAGACAGAACATTGTATACATAATAAATAAATAAATAAATATTAGAAAAAAAATAAATAAAGAAGCGGTTTCGGCCTATAGCAGGGCAGAATATAGCCAGACTGGAAGAAATACAGAGAGAAAGTGGGTGGAGTCAGAGAGATGCCATGAAGTTGCCAAAGGAGAAAGATGCCAGAATGCCAGAACCGTACCAGCAAGCCAGAGCCTCGTGGTGATACACAGATTAAAAGAAATGAATTAATTAAAGATGTAAGAGTTAGTTAATAAAAAGCCTGAGCTAGCCAGGTGGTGGTGGCGCACGCCTTTAATCCCAGCACTCGGGAGGCAGGGGCAGGACGATCTCTGGGAGTTTGAGGCCAGCCTGGTCTACAAGAGCTAGTTCCGGGACAGGCACCAAAGCTACAGAGAAACCCTGTCTTGAAAAACCAAAAAAAAAAAAAAAAGGAAGCCTGAGCTAATAGGCCAAACAGTACCATAATTAATACAGTTTTTGTGTGGTTGTTCGGGTCTGGGTGTCCGGGAACGAAAGAGCAGTCTCTGGTCACGGAGCACTGCGTATTGGCTCATCCCCATGACTGGTCCAGTTTGCTTTTTTTTTCTTTTTTTTTCAGACAAGATCTCACTATGTACCTCTGACTGGCCTGGAACTTGCTATGTAGACCAGGCTGGCCTCTAACTCACAGAGACCCACCTGCCTTTGCCTCCCAAGTGTTGGGAATAAAGGCATGTGTAGACAGATTTTTCTTTGTGCCTCTAGCTCACACACACACACACACACACACACACACACACACACACAAACCATGGAGGGCTGGAGAGATGGCTCAGTGGTTAAAGCATTGCCTGCTCTTCCAAAGGTCCTGAGTTCAATTCCCAGCAACCACATGGTGGCTCACTACCATCTGTAATGAGGTCTGGTGCCCTCTTCTGGCCTGCAGACATACACACAGACAGAATACTGCATACATAATAAATAAATAAATATTAAAAAAACAACATGGAGACTTATTATTAATTATGAAAGCTTGACCTTAGCTTAGGCTTGTTTCTAACTAGCTCTTATAACATATTAACCCATTTCTATTCATCTATGTGTTGACGCATAGCTCATGGCTTTTACCTCTCCTCCCGCACGTCCTGCTTCCTCTGTATCCAGCTATTGACTCTCCCTTCTTCTTCCCAGAGCTCTCTCTGTCTGGAAGTCCCACCTATACCTCCATCCTATCTATGGCCATTTAGATTTTTATTAAACCAGTAACAGTGACATATCTTTTCAAAGTTTAATCAAAAATATTTCATAATAGGCATACAGCATTATGCCTGGTTCTATAGACCAGTCTAGTGAGAGCAATTCCTCAGCTGAGGTTCCCTCTTCCCACCTAAACTTCATCAGTCTGACTGAACCTTGAGTGGTGGTGAATGAGGAAGATGAAGGCTTGGGAACGGTCTGAAGAGTCAGCAGAAATTGAAATAAGGACAGGTGACCTCAGAGCAAGACTCTACCCAGAGAAGCTTCCAGCTTGTGAAAAGGAAAAGCTCATGGAATTTTCTGCTTCTAAAAAGCAACAGCAAACTAAGGCCTCTGGAAATGGGATCCAGAACCAGCGGCAGAATACGGCAGTGTTGCTCACGTGGCTCTGGCTTTAGAATCACGAGGGATAAAGGAGAAAGGGGTTGTGGAATATCCCTCCACAGTCAGGGAGAGCTGTGGAGGCCAAGTAGGTAGCAGGGTTACATATGTATTAGCCCTGAGAGGTCAGTTCAGGAAGCTGTGAAAAGGAGGCCTGGATTGTATTAGAGGCTCCAAGATGTTGGGCACACAGGAGCTGCAAGAGGCCTGCTAGGGAGTAGAGTCAGCCCAAGAGACAGAACTATGCTGTAGGTAGCAGGGCCAGAAGGGTGGAGCCATCTAAGCCTTTTGACAGTGGACATGGAACTACAGAATCTGGAGCTTGCCCTGATGGGTTTCAGTCTTGCTTTGGTCTAGTATCCTTCATTTGCCCTGCTTCCTCCCTTTTTTGAACGATGATGCCTATTCTCTGCCGTTGTATGTTCAAAGTATCTGTAAGAGGATATTGAGAGAGTATCCCCTTAACTAGGCATGGTTCATACCTATAACCACAACACTCTGAGGGAGAAGCTAGAAGATCAGGAGTTCAAGGTCAACCCTCACTACAAACCCAGTTCAAGGACAGCCCAATTCAACCTCTCCCTCCACCAGTGCCTTCTCCCTAAAGTGAGCTTTAGGGTGAGCTCACTTACTGGGAGCATTTCGAATGGGGTTCACACATATGCCATATGCTCTATGAGAGTGGACGCTTACGGTAACATTCTCTTGGTCAGGGCTGGCTTTCTTGGATGAAGGCTCAGCCTCATAATGAACGAGCAGGTTTGTCAGGTAAAGTAACTTTCAGAGTTTTGTCTTCTGTTGATCCTTGGGCCTAAAGCCGGTAAGGAGGGGAGCAGGGGAAGGCACTTGATACAAGCCGGATGACCTGAGGTGGATCCCTGGAATCTACATGGTGGAAGGAGAGAACCGGTCCCCATGAGCTGTCCTCCACGACTTCGAGCACACTGTGGCACATGCCCTGATCTACCCCCCTCCCATGCACACAAAATGAATAAATGACACTAATTTTTTAAAATGTATTTAAGTTTAATGTGCAGGAATATTTTGCCCAGATGAATGTATGTTCACAAGGCATCAGATCCTCTGGAACTAGAGTTACAGATGCTTATGAACCACCATATGGGTGCTGGGCTCAGGGCCCAGTTTCTCTGAAACAGCAACAAGTGCTCTTAACATCTTGGCCATCTCACTAGTCTCCTAATTTAAATTAAAAACAGCCGGGGGCTGGAGAGATGGCTCAGAGGTTAAGCGCACTGACTGTTCTTCCAGAGGTTCTGAGTTTAATTCCCAGAAACCACATGGTGGCTCACAACCATCTGTAATAAGATCTGGTGCCCTCTTCTGGCCTGCAGGGACACATGCAAGCAGAGTGCTGAATACATAATTAATAAATAAATCTTCAAAAAAATTAAAAATGGCAACGAAAAAGTGATGATGAAGAGGGAGAAAGAAAAGTAAATTTAAGAAAAATAATAATAAGGCCTGAGGTTTGGCCTTGTGGTTCAGGCCTGCAGCGCTAGCATTTAGGAGGTCGAGAGAGGAGAATTGCTGAGTTTGAGGCTTGCTTCAGCTACAGTGTAAGACCCTGTCTCAAAACACAGCAGCAAAAACAAATAAACTGAAAATATGGCACGTGCTTATATAACAGTCCTTAGCTAAGTGGAAGCATCAGGAATTCAAGGTCATCCTCGATGGAGACCTGGTTAGTGCCAGGCCATCCTGGGCTACACAGTAAGCTCTACCTGATAAGTTCCAGGCCATCCTGGGCTACATGGCGAGTTCTAAGTCAGCCCGAGACACATGAGACTCTGTCCCAAAAAGCAAAATATACAAAATGTATATTTTTAACGTAAAAAGGAATTGCAGGGGCTGCCTGCTCTACCAAAAGTCCTGAGTTCAATTCCCAGCAATCACTTGGTGGCTCACAACCATCTGTAATGAGATCTGGTCTGCAGACATAGACACAGACAGAATATTGTATACATAATAAATACATATTTTAAAAAAAAGGAATTGCAGGCTACACAAAGGTAATCAGTTCATCGTTTTGTTATCTTTTCTCCCCTGCTTGCTAATTAACAGTCCGACATTCGGTCCTTCTTTGCTACTGTCAGTTTCGTGTTTTCAGTGCTGGGCTTCACACAGGTGAGGCCTCTACCCTTTCAGGCACGTCCAAGGGAACTTTTTGTTTGTTTGTTTGTTTTTGAGACGGTGTCTCGCGTGTAGCCCAGGCTGGCCTTGAACTCACAGAGCTCTGCCTGCCTCTGCTTTATGTTTAAACTGAACCTGGAGCTCACTCTGCCTGATGGCCTGGACAGCAAGCGCTGGAGAGCCACCCGTCTGGTCTCAGGGTGCTGAGATTTCAGATCGCGCAGAGCCTGCAGTGTCACTCACTCTGCCTCAGCCTCCTGAGTGCTGGGGGTCAGGGGCTTCACCATCCCTGACTTGCTTTAACGTGGCTGCTGTGGGAACCTGATCTCTGCTTCTTACCCTTCCTCAGCAAGCACGTCACCCTCTGGACTACCTTGGCAGCCCTCCCTGTGTTTAAATAAGGTTTCTTGTAGCCCAGGCTGACCTCTACTTTGTTATGTAGTCAAGGATGAACAGAGCTTCTGCTCTCTTTTTAAAATTCTCCTTTCTTGCTGGGCGGTGGTGGTGCACACCTTGAATTCCAGCACTCGGGAGTCAGAGGCAGGTGGATCTCTGTGAGTTCGAGGCCACTACAGAGGGAGTTCCAGGACAGCCAGAATTGTTACACAGAGAAAGCCTTTCTTTTTAAAATGCGGAATGTTTCAGGAACTTTCAAATCATTCTTGCACAGGGGCCATGTTAATCTTCTCTGTATTATTTCAATCTATTAGTATTTTATTTATTTAGTATTTATTTCAGTCTTTTAGTATTTTAGTGCTGCCAAAACATACACGTTCTCTCTCCCTCTCTCTCTCTCTCTCTCTTTCTCTCGCTCACTTGCTCCCTCTCGCTCTCATTCTCACTCTCTGTGTCTTCTAAATTTTGACCTTGAGCTTCTAACTCCCCCTTCTCCACCTCTGACTGCTGGGACTTCCACCACACCTAGTTTTATGCTGTGTCAAGGGTCTAATCTCCTGAAGCTAAACAAACCCTCTACCAAGTAAGACCCCTCAACTCATTTAAATCTAAAACTATTCAGAACAGAAAATCTAAGGCTGAGGATGTGTTTCGTGGTGCAGCACTCACACGGACTTGTCAAGTGTCGGGGTTGACCCTTTTGGCCTGGATCTGAATTTAGTTAACACTCTGATATTGGATATTAGTAATGCTGTCTAAACAAGCACAGAGCAATCATAATATCCGATTGTACTCACCTCACTACTAAGAGATTTTTTTTCTCATTTTATAAATGTAGGAAGCCGGGCAGTGGTGGCGCACGCCTTTAATCCCAGCACTTGGGAGGCAGAGGAAGACAGATCTCTGTGAGTTCGGGTCCAGCCTGGTCTACAGAGTGAGTTCCAGGACAGGCTCCAAAGCTACAGAGAAACCCTGTCTCGAAAAAATCAAAATAAATAAATAAATAAACATAAATAAATAGACATAAATAAATAAAATGTAGGAACATACGTGAGAGAGTTCAATTATGCAACTGCTAATAAGCATTCACTAGTGAGCTATTGGTGACTGCCTACTGGTGGTGTTGGGGCTTCTCTACAAGTGTTTTGAGCAGCTCTTAAGGTCGGTCACATGACATCCACCCCCTCATTCAGCTCCTTCTCTGCCCCTTACCACTACCTGCCAGGTGTCTGGCTGTCCCTGCACCCTTCCCTCATCTGCTGCATCTGTTACTACATCTATAACGCGTTCCTCTGAGATGCTCTCCCATCTTACCATCGGCCCTCAGCCCACTCTCGTTCTCACGGTCTCTATTCAGCCTCAGGTCTCCCGTCCTGTTCAAACACCCCATCTTTCTAGTATCAACGCCTGATTATCCCCAACTACCATCTTCAGTGGTCCATACCACAGCTTCTGCAATCTGCCCACAGTCAGCCCCGTTTTCTCCACTGCCCTTCCCCTCACCCTCACCCCCAAGCATCACATGGTTTATAGATTTTGCTCTGGATTTTCCTGATGACTGTATAGAATGCCCTTTTCTCTCCCTTTTCTGGTACTAGGGCTTCAACCCAAGGCTTTCCAACATGCTAGACAACTGCAGTCAACATCATTCAACTGGCCGGGTGCCTGGAAGCAGCCTGGCACCCCACAGCTGAGCTTCACTTTTCCTTGTGACTCTTGCTCTTCACCGAACACCACGGAGCCACTGTGAGACAGAGGTTACAACATCACCTGGCATATGGCTTTCCCAATAGCTCTACTGCTTTGCCAATTTCTTTCCTCCTGTTTTGTCTTCTGAGGGTCTCACCTTGTAGGCCAGATTATCCTCTTTAGTAATCCTCCTACCTCAGTCTTCCTGGTAGGTTAAATTTTGTGTGGGTTTTCTTTCTATGGTGATACGAAAAATCCAGGTCTTATGCACGTTGGACAACGGCTTTGTCACTAAGCCACACTTCTGACCTATCCAGCTACTTTCTGGAAGCTGGTGGGCGCCTGGGAGTGGAGGAAGGGAAGCTAGGACAGCACAGACAGCCTTTAAGTGGCAATCTGAGGGAGCGAAACTTCAGAAACCTAAAATCCTCGGAAGCCTGCTGCTGAACGCCGCAGGGAAATCTCGAGCTGCCCCCTAGCGCCTGGATGCGGAACTGCAGCAGGGTCGGCTTGAGTTGCTTCGGGCCCAGCGCTGGCTCCGCCCCCGCCGCCCCGAGTCTCCGACACGCCTCGCCGTGCAGGCTCCCGTGCACCCGGCTCCAGTTAATACTCGCTTCTGAGACTCCGGAAGCACGTCATAAGGACGCGTCACGGGCGCGAGAGTCAGCTGAGCTGCCTGGGCGAGGTTGTGATCACCTAGGATCTGCTAAGGGGAGTGTATAATCTCTTGGGACTAGAGCTGGGGTGCAAAACTGCGCCAGATTCTAGTGGGGGCTCCTCAGTCTTCTCGTCCTAAACAGTGAAATAAAAAAGGGCCTCAGAATTTTTAAAAGGTTCCCCGGATCTGTCAGACGCTGGGGAGTCACAGCTTGCAAAGCCAGGACGACAGAGGTCCCAGTTGTGACCCCCAGACCTAAGGACCTGGGAGTGGAGGAAGGGAAACTCTGGCTCGAATACTATGGCGTCCATCCTGGATGAGTATGAGGACTCACTGTCCCGCTCGGCCGTCTTGCAGACTGGTTGCCCTACTGTGGGCATCCCCCATTCTGGTAAGTAAGAGACCGCCACTGCCCCTTTCAGTTTCGCTAGCATTTGCAGGGAGGCCGGCTCAAGAGCATGGGGCGTGCGTTCAGGATCTACGCCCCAGGCGCTCTTCATCCCCCCCCCCCCCCCCCCCCCCCCCCCCCCCCCCCCCCCGCATGTCCGTTGTCGAAGTTTGAAAGAGCCACAGGAGCGGCTGTGTGATCTAGGCCCTACCACTACTTCTGAAGGTCCTTCAGAAGAGGGAACTGGGGCTCCGATGAGGAAGTACTTGCCTACCGGGCTACAGTTTGGTTTTTGAGAGAACTGAAAATAGGTTCGAGGCCGGGCGGTGGTGGCGCACGCCTTTAATCCCAGCACTCGGGAGGCAGAGGCAGGCGGATCTCTGTGAGTTCGAGACCAGCCTGGTCTACAAGAGCTAGTTCCAGGACAGGCTCCAAAGCCACAGAGAAACCCTGTCTCGAAAAACCAAAAAAAAAAAAAAAGAAAGAAAATAGGTTCGAGGCTTCCCCTGGAGTCTGGTTCTGTGAGTGTGTGTGTTTTCCCACCAGACTTTTTCTCGGGGAAGCAGAGAGGGCGGGAATGAGCACAGAACTTGTGGAAGAAGGAGGTTCAAGCGTAACAGGAATTTTGTCACTGGATAGGAACGGTGGAGATGAGTGGCCTTGGGTCAAGCTGGCTGCAGTGTAGAGCGTAGGTGTCATTTTTAAGGACAGGAGAGCAGAGTTGGCCCAGTGCTGTGATAATATTGCATCTGAGTAGCGAGAAAACAGCTGCAGTCTGTGCACAGTGCTAATGGGGTCGAGTCCCCAGAATGCTCTACTTATCATGGGGCTCCCTGAGCCACGTTACTGTGTGGACTGGGAGGAAGGGGCAACTTTAGTTCTCTTGGAATTGGTGAGCTAAAGACCAGTAGGGGAGCATGCCCAAACCGTCCCTCATCCCCTCCCCCCCTTACCCCTGGGATAAGCACACCATGATACAGCCTCATCTCAGCTGCAGAGAAACAGCCCCTGCTACATTCACAAGTGGAGAAGAGCCCAGGCCCTTACTGGGAAGACAACCAGAGAATGAATGTTGAGCCCTTCTTTAACTAAGATCCCGTGAGCAGGAATGTACTTGGGAAGTTAGCCGGGCAGCGGTGGCACGCGCCTTGAATCCCAGCACTCGGGAGGCAGAGGCAGGCGGAGCTCTGTGAGTTCCAGGCCAGTCTGGTCTACAGAGGGACTTCTAGGACAGCCAGGACTGTTACACAGAGAAAAGAGAAATCCTGTTTTGAAAAACCAAACCAAACAAACAAACAAACAAAAAACCCAACCTGTACTTGGGAAGTAGAAGAGTGTCAGGTAACTGTTGTTTCTTAGGGTTTCTGGGCTGCCCCGCCCCTTTCTCTGGACGTCAGTCTTTTTCTTCCCTCCCACCCTGCAGGGTACGTAAACGCGCAGCTGGAGAAGGAAGCGCCCATCTTCACGAAGCAGCGCATCGACTTCACTCCAGCAGAGCGCATCACCAGCCTTGTGGTCTCCTGTAATCAGCTCTGCATGAGCCTGGGCAAGGATACGCTGCTCCGGTAATAGACAGACCTGGGGACTTTGACCTGACCGGGGTCCTCCTCTGCACTTGGAAAATGAAACAGTACATAGTCAGGAGATGCCCTATTCTTTCCCAGCGTGAACAGTTGTTATAACACCTAGTGATAGGGTACCTGGCATTTCTGAGGCCTGGGTTTGATTCCCAGCACTGGAAAATAAAATGCTGTACATACGAAGGCCGAGGCTGGAGCTCGGTGGCTGAGTACTGGCCGAGTCCTTCATTAGATGCTCAGTGTAGCTGAGACCAGGTGTGGTGCGCACACCTGTAATCACAATACTTGAGAGGTGGGAGGCAGGAGGAGCTGAAGTTCAAGGGCATCCTTGGCTACATAGTGAATTTGAAGCCAACCTGGGCTATGTGAGACCCTGTTTCAGACAGATTTCAGTGTGTGGCATGTGCCTGTAATCTCAGCACTAGGGAGACTGACAAGGAGGATTGGGAGCTTGTTCTGGGCTGCTACGTGAGAACCTGTCTCAGAAAACCAAAGAATAAACAGATAAACCCCTTATATGCTAATAAGAAGACAATTTAGAATACAGGGGAGGGTAAACAATACCCTCAGGCAGTGCACCCAGAAAGAACTTCTGGGCTGGGGTCAGGCAGTAATGCGCTTGCTTTGTAAACCTGAGAACCCATGTTAAAAAAGCTGCACTTGGCAGTGTGTGCATTTACCCACACTCTGGAGTGGATCAGAGAGGTGAATGCTGGGAGCTTGCAAGCCAGCCCGTATGACCAAATTGGTGAGCTCCAGCTTCAGTGGGACACCCTGTCTCAAAAAATAAAGTGGACGACTTTGGTTCTCAGCACCCACACTGAGAATTTCACAGTCTTATAATTCTAGGCCTAGGGGGTCCAGTACTCTCCTCTGGCCTCTGTGAGTACTTCTGTACACACACATGATTAAATAAAATGAATTTTGTTATATACTATATTTATTTGTTATAAACTATTCTGCGGAGGCTGGAGAGATGGCTCAGAGGTCCTGAGTTCAATTTCCAGCTTCCACATGGTGGCTCATGGATCTCTGTGAGTTTGAGGCCAACCTGGTCTACAAAGAGCTAGTTCCAGGACGGGCTCCAAAGCTACAGAGAAACCCTGTCTCAAAAAACCAAAAGAAAAAATAACATCTGGACTGGCTTAACTAGGCCTGCTGCCAAGCCTCACCACCTTAGTTAGATAACCTAGAGCCTCAGATCCACATGGGAGAAGGAGAAAAATGGCAACTGCAAGTTGCCCTATACCTTCATCTAATGCACCATGGCACGCGTGCACACGTGCACACGCACATACAGACATGAACATGTGCACACACAATTTATTTATTTTTATTAAAATAAAACTAGCCAGGCAGTGGTGGCGCACGCCTTTAATCCTAATACTCAGGAGACAGAGGCAGGCGGATCTTTGAGGCCAGCCTGGTCTACAGAGCTAGTTCCAGGGCAGCCCAGGTACACAGAAAAACCTTGTCTCAGAACAAACTGGGCGATGGTGGTGCACACCTTCGATCCCAGCAGTCGGGAGACAGAGGCAGGTGGATCTCTGTGAGTTCTGGCCTACAAAACGAGTTCCAGGACAGCTAGGCCTGTTACACAGAGAAACCCTATCTCGAAAAAACAAAAAATATAAAAATAAATAAATCTATAAGTTATATTCAGTCACAATTTGAGTGAATATAAAAAAGAAGTAGCTATGGGCTGGAGAGATAGCTCAGAGGTTAAGAGCATTGCCTGCTCTTCCAAAGGTCCTGAGTTCAATTCCCAGCAACCACATGGTGGCTCACAACCATCTGTAACGAGGTCTGGTGCCCTCTTCTGGCCTGCAGGCAGACTATTGTATACATAATAAATAAATAAATATTTTTTAAAAAAGTAGCTATTTGAAGGGGTACTGACTCAAGAATATTGATCACGGCATTATTTGTAGTAAGAAAAATGACCTGAGAAGTAAATGCCCACTGATAAGGAAATAGTGACTAAATTATAATTCGGCTATGAAGTAGGATACCATCAATTATTAAAAACATTGGGGGGGGGGGCTGGAGAGATGGCTCAGCAGTTAAGAGCATTGACTGCTCTTCCCGAGGACCCTGGTTCAATTCCCAGCACCCACATGGCAGCTCACAACTGTCTGAAAATCCAGTCCCAGGAGATCTGACACCTTCACACTAATGCACATAAAATAAACCTAAATAAACTATAAAAAAAATTAAAAAAAAAAAAAACATTGGGGGCCGGAAACATAGCTAAGCCAGTAAAGGTGCTTCTGCCAACCCTTCCAACCTGACATCAATCCTAGGACCTGTATCCGTGGTGGAAGGTGAGAACTGGCCCCCACAGGTTGTCCTCTGAGTTCCATTATACATGTGCGCCTCCCCCCACAGTAAATAAACTAGTGCAGTAAGAAGATTAAAAGCAATTTCAAAGAATAAAACCTTTAAGTCAGGAAGTGGCACACATCTTTAATCCCAGAACTTCAGAGGCAGAGGCAGGTGGATCTTTGTGAGTTCGAGGCCAGCCTGGCCTATAAAGTGAGTTCCAGGACAGCCAGGATTGTTAGAGAAAGGTGTTGGGGTAAAAAAGAAAGAAAGCAAGCTTTATTTATTGGTTACTATAAACTTCATAAAATATAAATTGAGAAAGTCAAGTTACAAATAGCAGTGTGAAGATGTTTTTGTAATTAAAGCTTTCAAGTCTGTGATATAAAAAGGAACTGCCCAGGTGCTGGAGGACAGCTCAGTGGTTAAGAGTGCTTACTGCTCATGCAGAGAGGACCTGACTTAGATTCCCAACACCTACATGGCAGCTCACAGCTGTCTGTAACTCCAGTTCCAGGGGATCCAGTACCCTCTTCTGACTTCCACGGGTTCCTGTACACACTTCCATACATTCATGCACAACATATATACACCAAATACATAATGTAAATGTAAAGAGGGGACTTCCCTGTTTGAGATTGACACTGTGACCCTTGACCTTACAGCATTGACCTGGGCAAGGCAAGTGAACCCAACCGTGTGGAACTGGGGCGCAAGGATGATGCCAAAGTTCACAAGATGTTCCTGGATCACACTGGTAGGTGGTGTTGGAGATCTGAGGGGGGCTCCTGAGAATGTGCGTGCCTGGAGGGGTGGGATCTGACCAGGGAGGAAGACACAGTATCCACTCAGGTACTTTTCCGTCCACTCCAGGCTCTCACCTGCTGGTTGCTCTGAGCAGCACTGAGGTCCTCTATATGAACCGGAATGGGCAGAAGGTCCGGCCATTGGCACGCTGGAAGGGGCAGTTGGTGGAGAGTGTAGGCTGGAACAAAGCCCTGGGCAACGAGAACAGCACTGGGCCCATCCTGGTCGGCACAGCCCAAGGACAGATCTTTGAAGCAGAGCTCTCTGCCAGCGAAGGTGGCCTTTTTGGCCCCGCCCCGGATCTCTACTTCCGGCCGCTGTATGTGTTAAATGAAGAAGGGGGTCCCGCACCCGTGTGCTCCCTTGAGGCTGAGCGCGGCCCTGATGGGCGAGGCTTTGTCATCGCCACCACTCGGCAGCGCCTCTTCCAGTTCATAAGCCGCGCGGTAGACGATGCTGAAGCCCAGGGCTTCTCAGGCCTCTTTGCTGCCTATACGGACCACCCGCCCCCATTCCGTGAGTTTCCTAGCAATTTGGGGTATAGTGAGTTGGCTTTCTATACCCCCAAGTTACGCTCTGCGCCTCGTGCCTTCGCCTGGATGATGGGAGACGGTGTGCTGTATGGCTCCCTGGACTGCGGACGTCCTGATTCGCTGCTGAGCGAGGAGCGCGTGTGGGAATATCCAGCGGGGGTCGGGCCTGGGGCCAGTCCACCCCTAGCCATCGTCTTGACCCAGTTTCATTTTCTGCTGCTGCTGGCAGACCGGGTGGAGGCTGTGTGTACCCTGACAGGGCAGGTGGTACTTCGGGATCACTTCCTGGAGAAGTTTGGACCACTGAGGCACATGGTGAAGGACTCGTCCACAGGTCACCTCTGGGCCTACACTGAGCGTGCGGTCTTCCGGTACCACGTGCAGCGCGAAGCCCGGGATGTCTGGCGCACGTACCTGGACATGAACCGTTTTGACCTGGCCAAAGAGTATTGTCGAGAGCGGCCAGACTGCCTGGACACAGTCCTGGCCCGAGAGGCCGATTTCTGCTTCCGCCAGCACCGCTACCTGGAGAGCGCCCGCTGTTATGCTCTGACCCAGAGCTACTTCGAGGAGATTGCCCTCAAATTTTTGGAGGCCCGGCAAGAAGAGGCACTGGCCGAGTTTCTACAGCGGAAACTGGCCGGCTTGAAGCCAACGGAGCGTACCCAGGCCACACTGCTAACCACTTGGCTGACGGAGCTCTACCTGAGCCGGCTTGGTGCCCTGCAGGGTGACCCGGATGCTCTGAATCTCTACCGGGATACCCGGGAATGCTTCCGCACCTTTCTCAGTAGCCCTCGGCACAAGGAGTGGCTCTTTGCCAGCCGGGCCTCTATCCACGAGCTGCTCGCCAGTCATGGGGACACAGAGCATATGGTGTACTTCGCGGTGATCATGCAGGACTATGAACGGGTGGTGGCCTACCACTGCCAGCACGAGGCCTATGAGGAGGCCCTGGCTGTCCTTGCCGGCCACCGGGACCCCCAGCTCTTCTACAAATTCTCACCCATCCTCATCCGACATATCCCCCGCCAGCTAGTGGATGCCTGGATTGAGATGGGCAGCCGCCTGGACGCCCGGCAGCTCATCCCTGCCCTGGTGAACTATAGCCAGGGTGGAGAGGCTCAGCAGGTGAGCCAGGCCATCCGCTATATGGAATTCTGCGTGAATGTCCTCGGGGAGACTGAGCAAGCCATTCACAACTACCTGCTGTCGCTGTATGCCCGTGGCCAGCCAGCCTCGCTGCTGGCCTACCTGGAGCAAGCTGGGGCCAGCCCGCACCGTGTGCATTATGACCTCAAGTACGCACTCCGACTCTGTGCCGAGCATGGTCACCACCGCGCTTGTGTTCACGTCTATAAGGTGCTGGAGCTGTATGAAGAAGCTGTGGACCTGGCCCTGCAGGTAAATCTTGTCCTCATCCAGGAGAGGGACCTAGAGAGGAGTAAGTTAAAGAGGCAGAAAGGCTGGGGGAGGTAAGGCTGATGCTTGCTGGCTTCTCAGCCAGAGAACTGCTGTAGTGTAGAAGTTAAAACTCAGACCGAAAGCTGAGTTTGAGGTGTGTGTTTGTTGCTGTATCCCAACACTTGGGAGGTTAGGGCAGAAGAATCATGAGTTTGAGGCCAGTTTAGGCTACACAGTGAGTACCTGATTTTTTTGGGTTTGGTTTTTGGTTTTCGAGATAGGGTTTTTCTGTGTAGCCCTGGCTGTCGTAGAACTCACTCTTGTAGACCAGTCTGGCCTCAAACTCACAGAGATCCTCCTGCCTCTGCCTCTTGAATGCTGGGATTAAAGGTGTGCACCACCACCACTACTCAGCACAGACTGGCATTTTGCCTGCATGTATGAGTGGGGGAACTGTATCCCCTGGAACCGGAGTGTCATGTGGGTGCGAGGAATTGAATCTTGGTCCTCTGGAAGAGCAGTCAGTGCTCTTAACTGCTAACGTCATCTCCCCAGACCCCATGTAGGAAAAGGAAGAAAGAACATATACTAGGACCTCAGGGTTTGAATTCTGACCTCATCATCTTGCTCTGTGATTTGGGGCTGGTATCTGAGCCCTGCCCTGCCTTAGATTACCCGTTAAATGGTGGTAACGAGCCAGCACGCTGGATGGGCGAGTGAAAGCTCTTGCTATACAAACCTGATCACCCGAGTTCTACCCACAGAGCCCAGAGTGGAAGGAGAGAACTGACTGCCAAAGTTGTTCTCCGCCTGCACACATCTCCCCCTCCCCGCCATAATTATGATAAAAGAAAAAATTATAGAAGTTTGTGAAGGTAATGTTAAGAGTACTTTTTGTTTTGTTTTTTGAGACAAACCTGTGTAGATAAGCCTGTAGCTACAAATCTGTGTAGCCCTGGCTGTTCTGTAACTTGCTCTGTAGATAGACCAGGCTTGCCTTGAACTCAGATCCTCTTGCCTCTGCCTTTTGAATGCTGGGATTAAAGGCATGTTCCGCCACCACCCGGCTAAAAGTATTTTTTACCTTATGATATGAGTTAGTATAGTATGATCAGGAGCTGATTATAATGGCTACACAGTGAGTTCTAGGCCAGCCTGGGCTAGATAGTAAGCCACTGCTGTCTCAAATAATAATAATCAGTAGAGGCTGGAGAGATGGTTCAGAGGTTAAGAGCAGTAGCTGCTCATACAGAGGACCTGGGTTTGGTTCCCAGCCACCTGTAACTCCGGTTCAAGAGGCTCTGATGGCCTCTTCTGGCCACCACAGGTACCAGCGAGCAAATAAACTAGAATAAGCATGTTGTGCCTGATACACACATTAGCAAAGAAAAAATGCTAACTTACATCTTTCAAATCCTGAAAGATTATTGTTGGTGTTTGTGCAGGTGCACGTGTGGACACCCGGGAAGGGCATCTGCTGGCCTTCTCCATTGTTCTCTGCCTTATTCCTTCGAGGCAGGGTCTCTCAGGACCTAGGCGTTCTGGGTTTTGGTAACACTGATAACCCTCAAGCCCCATCCACCCGCGTACACATCCTATACTACCAGACATCCTCCACCCATCCTCCACTCCCTCTAACTCTGGGGTTACAGGTCTGTGCAAGACCACGCCCAGCTTGTTATATGGTTGCTGGGATCTGAGCAGGGCCATCTTCCCAGAGTCTCACTCTATAGGTGTCCTTAGGTACCCCAAACTGATCTGGAAATCGCTGTGTAGCCCAGGCTGGCCTCAAGCTGAGCCTTAATCCAGGATTTAGAACATTGCAGCGAGAGCTCAAATAGTTCCCCGTGTGACCTGTTTTGATTTTTAAGGCAGGGTCTCCCAGAGCTCAGGCTGGCTTCAAGCTTGGCTACCTTCCTGTTTCCACTTCCTGAGTGCCGAGGTGTGGGTATGCAACATTAGCATCGTTAAATTCACCAAAATTGGAGGCCTGCCACCAAAAATAGCCTCTCTGTAGCTGTGACAGGACAGACCAGTAGAGGTTTCTGTCGTACCTCTTGCTGCCTGGAGAGCAGAGCATCCTGCCTGCGCCCTCTCCTCGGGCTGTCTTCTGTGGCCGTCTGTCTTTGCAGAAGTCTGATCCTAGGTGGGGAGGGCTTGACCCTGACGCCTATGGTCTCTCCACAGGTGGATGTGGACCTGGCCAAGCAGTGTGCAGACCTGCCCGAGGAGGACGAGGAGCTGCGCAAGAAGCTGTGGCTGAAGATCGCTCGGCACGTGGTGCAGGAGGAGGAGGATGTGCAGACAGCCATGGCCTGCTTGGCCAGCTGCCCCCTGCTCAAGATCGAGGACGTGCTGCCCTTCTTCCCCGACTTCGTCACCATCGACCACTTCAAGGAGGCCATCTGTAGCTCCCTGAAGGCCTACAACCACCACATCCAGGAGCTGCAGCGGGAGATGGAGGAGGCCACGGCCAGTGCCCAGCGGATCCGCCGAGACTTACAGGAGCTGCGGGGACGCTATGGCACTGTGGAGCCTCAGGACAAGTGCTCCACCTGTGACTTCCCTCTGCTCAACCGACCCTTTTACTTGTTCCTCTGTGGCCACATGTTCCATGCCGACTGTCTCCTGCAGGCCGTGAGGCCCGGCCTGCCTGCCTATAAGCAGGCCAAGCTTGAGGAGCTGCAGCGCAAGCTTGGGGCTGCCCCTCCTCCCACCAAAGGCTCGGCCAAGGCCAAAGAGGCCGAAGCTGGGGCTTCAGCTGGGGGTCCCAGCCGGGAGCAGCTCAAGGCTGACCTGGACGAACTGGTGGCTGCAGAGTGTGTGTACTGTGGGGAGCTGATGATTCGCTCCATTGACCGGCCCTTCATTGACCCCCAGCACTATGAGGAGGAACACCGCAGCTGGCTGTAGGGAGGGGTCCCCTTGTGGGAGGACAGGCAGGGATGCAGCTACCAGACCCTCCGGAGAAGGCCTTACTCTGGCTGGTGTTCAGTCCTTGAGACTGCAGGGCCTGTGATTGTGGGCATGTGGGATCCAGGCTGCTGCCCTGAGGTTTCAGACCTGCCTTAGAGTGGTTCCTCCCCCAGGCAGCCCATGAGCCCTGGAGAGGTCACATGATCTGTCTAGCCCCCTGTATCTGACAGCCCCTTGGTTCCTGCTCCACCCTGACGTGTTCACCTGGACTGAGCAGCCCGCTTTTCTGTGCCACTCTGGCCTCTGGGCCTCCAGCCCTCCCTCTTCTGTCTGAACCAGGCTTCCCCAGGCACTGTGGAGGTGGCACTGAGGCCAGGCATGCTCGTGTGGGCACGTGCAGATACTGGTGTGACTGGGAGGGATTGGGGCTCCGCTGTGGGGTTGTCCCGAGCCTGAAGGCAAACCCAGGACCAGCGGACGTGGTACCAAGTGGAGAGCATTAAATCGTCTGCTCTAAGTGGTGGCTCTGGACTCCATGGCTTCGTGTTGATGCCAGGAGGGGCTGGGGTGCCACAAGAGGGCCTCCTGCAATAAGTGTGGTGGTGCACACCTTTAATCCCAACCCTCCGGAGGCAGAAACAGGAGGATCTCTGTGCAGTCAAGACCAGTGTGGTCTATACAATGAGTTCTAGGCCAGCCAAGGCTATAGTAGTATGACCCCGTCCCAAATAAAATTTTAAAAAAAGGACCTCCCCCGCTAGTCTTATCTTCGCATGTGGTCTTTCACTGGGGTGAGACGTGACAGTCTTTCCAGATTTTACTTGCTTCCTTGTTTCCCTCTATCCTCTGACTATAAGGTTCAGGGAGAGTTTACGTCTTAAGTCATAGAGCTATTCTTCATTTGGCCAGCAGGTGGCGCTGCTGCTCGCAGAATTCACCCAACGCCGGCCCATTGGGACATTGACTTCTCCCATCAGTCATATTAATGCTTCCTCGGCTGTTCCCTTCCTAGTTGTAAGAATCTTCTAGAAGTCCCCGCTGCCCGAGCATGATTCTCTGCCCTGAATTATTTTTCTGTGTTTTTTAATAGCATATGTTATATAATATGGGTTCCTTGGGTCACAGTCACCTCCTCTCCCGTTGCTTTCTCTAATCCCCCCACTCCCACTGATCCCTTCCTCTTCCCCACTAGTCCTCCCCTCTTCTACCCTGTGTCTATGTTTGTGGGCAGGCACGCATACGTGTGGCTGTAGTGACAGCCTGTGTCCCCCTGTATTCGTTAGGGATGGTTACAGGAACACAGGCACCGAACCAGTGTTTGCAACACTACAGAGAATGAGACAGTGCCTCCTCCCCCGTCAGTCCTTGTCGCCTGTTCTAGACAGGATTTCACCTATAGCCCTGGCTTCCCTGGAACTCACTCTGTAGACCAGGCTGGCCTCAAACTCAGCGAGATGCACCTGCCTCTGCCCCCTGGGATTAAAGGTGTGCGCTACCACCTCCCGGCTCCTGTGCTGATCTTGTGTGGGTGTGAGGTCAGCGGTCACAGCAGCTGTGTGGCGCCCAGAGGTAGTGTTCTGCACCACCCCTTCCTCCTGCTCTTCCTTCTGCCTCTACGGCAGTGTTCCCTGATCCTTGGACGGGGTGTAGCCTGTAGCTGGCTCATACACGGCCTTAAGTCCCCATTCTCTCCAGTGACTCTTACACATTCTGTATTTTGTTTACTACTCTGACAGATTGGAGCTCTGCCAGCCTGGGCATGGCTTTGCTATCTATAGCCACTATCAGGCTCCGTGGCATTTGATCTCTCCTTATCTTGCTCCTGTGACTGTCTTTACTCAGCTCCAGACAGCACCTTCTAAGCTGGGGCCCGAAGCTGTGTCCTAGGATGTTCTGGAGTTAGGCCTTCTGGAGACAGCCTTTGCCCCCTGCACAGGTGTTCATGGAGCATTGTCTGGCTTGATGAACAGTAGTGTTCCTGTCCCTGACCCCTAGAACAACAGGGCCTCCTCTGGCCTCTGCCAGCCCAGTGACTTCCAAGGATCCTGTCTTCCAGAAGCAAGGGTAGGGGCTTGGCAGAGGGCATCCTAGTCCTATTGGTCTCCTCTTCGAGGAGAACCTGGGAGAATTCTATCTCTTTCCCATGCGGCCTAGGCGCCTTCACACTTAGATAAAACAGGAGACAGCAGAGAGGTTCCCTGTTCACAGGATCAGGGGGCACTGAGAATAAAATCTTGATTTCTCTACCCCCAAACGGATTGCTTACTGGTGGCTCAGACGAAACAGCTTGGAACTGCTGTCTTTGTACATAATGGGACCCTAATACATGTTAAACAAACACTGCCCTATTGCTCCCTTCTCCCAAAGGGTTTGGCTGAAGCAGCCTGGGACGTCCCTGCCCCTTCTGTCTTATCCTAAAGAGGCCCATCTGGTCCTAGGCTGCTTCCTCTTTCCTGGGAAAAGGCCCCAGTCTTCCCTGGCACTGACAGAACAGGGTTCCGGTGAGTCAGGGCAACGGGAAGCCACAGCTCTTAGATCCCTGGAAACCGAGCTAGGCTTGGAATGAAGAGTAGAGAGAAGGCCCTCGGGGCTCTGGCCCTAAGCCTGGGGAGGGGCCAAAGGGAGAGAGGAGGGAGCAGTGGTGTGGGCAGGGGCCAAGATGAATGAGCAGCTTCTGGAGCCATCACTGGAAATAGGAGGAGTGGCCACAGGCAGTGACGCTAGGGCCAGGGCAGGAGGCTTGTAAACAAGGAAGCCACCTGGGGGAGATGCAGGGCGGCCGCTAGTCCTGGGCAGCAGGTGCTTCCTGAGGCCCGCCCTTCACAGGGCCCTAGGGGCCGCCTCGTCCAGCTGCCCCCAGGCGCTAGGGGGCGCTGTGGACTGGCGTCTGGACCGCACGGCTGTCTACCAGAGCTCCTAAGGATTGTGGCTATTGGAGGGTGTGCCCACCTAGAGGCCTAGGCCCCCTGTGCAGCTGCCCTCCCTCCCGTCTCCAAAACACACTGGCCAAGGGCACTAGCCCAGGCACCGAGGGTGCAGAGCTCAACCTGGTCAGCCTGGGTGTGAGCTCATTCCTCCGCGACTACCAATTCTCTGGTTCCTGCCCCTCCCCTATAAGGCTCAGGTCTCAGGCCAGGGCCTGGCACCAACTCTGTTGGTTGGGAGGGGGCTCCGAGGCCACCAAGCTCCTGGCTGCCCTTGACGCTGCTTCCCCCGTCCCCTGGCGCCGGGGAAACAAAAGGTTAGGGGCCCAGAGGGACTTATCTGGTCCGACCACCACTGGGTGGGGGGAGGGGGCAAGAGGGGGCACACCTCCTCTCCACTCCTCTAGCACTACTGATTCTTCGAGACACTTTCACAGGCGGAAATTCCCAGAGGTCAGAGGAGGGAAACGGTTAATTCCTTTTATTCAATGGGCCCCCCCCACACCACCCCCTAACTTCCTCCCTCCACTTCCCGCCCCCCCCTGTGTGAACAGGAAGTGGAGAGGAAAAGGCTCTGAGCAGAGCAGCTGGGAGCAGAAGCCAGGGAGTAGGCAGCCGGCCTGGTGCCAGCCCTACCCCTCATGGTTGCTTGCTAGAGGAACAGAACAACTTGCAACCTCACTGGAACGTGGCAGCTGAGCTGGGGCAAAACCCAGCCTTCTAAGACCCTCTTCCCAACCTGCTGCCAGGCCAGAGGCTACTGTCCTGGGAGTGCAAGCCATCCTTTGCCCAAATCCCAGCTGCCCTGGCCACCGTGCTGCTGGCCTGGGCATCCCAAGGCCGGAGGGCAGCAAGCAATTCATGCAGCCTCCAGTCCTGGCACTGGCTCTACCACTCAGCCCCTTGGCCCTGCCAGTCCTTTGAAGCTCAGTCCCAGCTTCCTGTTTGGGGCAGACGATGCCAGGGCCCCTCCCCCACCATTGTTTTGTAGAGACCATAGGTCCATCTGTTGCCCCCATGGTGGGGCCCCTAGGCAGTACCACACGGGAGCAGAACCACAAAAGACCCTGCTGGCAGCTTTGCTCCTTGGGAGCGAGGCTGTCCCTGCAGCAGGTTGAGGATAAACAAGCGTCAGAAGCAGCCTGGAGGGCTGTGAGACAGGAGGATGCCACTGAGTGGCTCTGATGCTCGGGCATCTCCAGCCCTCTGCTTCCTCCTACACCTAAGCATGGAGAGGATACGTAAGTCACCAGGAGAGGGGCACCATTCTGCTGCTCAGATTCCAAAAGGGGAGACTGGCGGAGAGGCAGTAGATTCCACTCCGCAGATGCCCATTTCTGGGTGGCTTCCTTCACCAAATAAGCTTGCCTTTGCTCAGTGTTTGCCTCCAAGTGATCCTTTGAACTGAGCACTCAGTACCCGTACTGTGATGTCACAGGATGGTGAGTGGCCCCAGGTCAGTGGCCAGCAACTGATGCCCACAGAGAAAAGCCAGGGCAGAAAAAGGAAGAAGGGTACGAGTGTGACTCCCAGGACGGTGGCTGCTGTTCCTGGTTCCCAGGCTGCTGTGGTCAAAGGTCTGTTTATGTTCCCCAGGTACATGGCAGGTGCCATATTATCTCGGCAGCGCACTCGTGCCCCTAACTCCCTACCATGGACCAGTCTCACAGTTCCAGGCTGTTGTTCCCCTCACCTCTCCATGGCTTCAAACCCAGAAATGGTCTAGCCCACTTCTTTTACCATATCCCCAACCCAGAACTCATCCTTATCCTGGCTCTCAGAGGCTTAGAACTGTGAAACCTTAGCCAGAGACCATAGTGTTATGGGAACTCTACTTCAAAAAGGGTTTTCTGCATCCATATAACACCTGAAATTGATCCGTGAGTATCCGGTGGAAGCCAGGATGGAGTGCCCATGCCTCCTATTCCTCTGGCGTGGCCTCTCCTTCCCAACTCTGTATGGGTTTGGAAACCACTGAGCTGCCATTCCTAGCTCCCGACGGACAAAAGCTGAATCTAAGAGGAGAAATTGGTGGCTGGCAGGAGACTGGATCTAGGATCCTCGTCTTTCTCCGTGAGATTCCATGTTTGTTATGGATTAGCTGTGGCCTGAGCCTTTTATAATGCTCCTCCTCCTCCCTCCTTCCTTCCTTCCTCCTTCCTTCCTCCCTCCTTCCTTCCTCCCTCCTTCCTCCCTCCCTCCTTCCTTCCTCCCTCCCTCCTCCCTCCTTCCTTCCTCCTTCCTTCCTTCCTTCCTTCCTTCCTTCCTTTCTTCCTCCTTTCTTTCCTTCCTTTCTTTTTGTTTGTTTTTGAGACAGGGTTTCTCTGTGTAGCCTTTGGCTGTCCTGGAACTTGCTCCATAGACCAGGCTGGCCTCAGAGATCCGCCTGCCTCTGCCTCCCAAGTGCTGCGATTAAAGGCGTGCACCACCATTGCCTTTTCTTAAATCTTTTTAAAATTACATTTATTTATTGTGTGTATGTATGTGTGTATTGTATGCACACAAGCGCGCACACACCTTGAAGCCTATGTGGAGGTCAGAGGACAATTTGTAGGAAGAAGTCAGTTCTCTTCTTCCACCACGTGAGTCCTGGGAACCAGATGCAGATCATCAGACTTGATGACGAGTATCTTTCCCCACGGAGCCATCTCACCATACTCATTCCATCACCAGCTGAAAAGGCTTGAGCAGAGAGATAGGGAGTGAGGGACCGAGAGGCGATCTGGAAAGAGTGAGGGTTAGTTTCTCCCTGGGTTTGCCAGCCGTTGGCCTAGCCACACCCCCGGAACTGTCTCTTCACCTGCAAGATGAAAATATAATAGACCTCCAAGAGCCGATGGGAAGCTTCCCTGGGCACGAAGCACATCTGGACAGTTAGTCCGGAGCTTGGTACCTTAGCAGTCCAGGATGCCCCTTTTCTCGAGTCCACAGCAGCTCTTGCATCACAGACACTCTTATCCCAAAAGAGGCTTGCTTGGGAAGGCCCTCAAGGCTTCTCGTAAAAGGGTGACTCTAGGAAAGAGAAATCTCAGAGCGGGGTGAGGATTCTCTCAGGCATGCGGATGCAGCCCTGCAGTGGCATAGGAATGCTCCCAAGGGCAGCGGGGTCTTGGGTTCCTAGAGGAGCACAGGGGGCTGGGCAAGTATCACTCTGGCCACTGACCAGGCCCAGCCCCTCTGCCAGCCTGGCCGTGCTGTCTGGCCCAGAACTTGCACAACAGGCTGTCTGGCAGGCACTCCCCTGAGAGCTTCAGGAAGTCCCCCTTGTCCCTCTTTGATCTTTGACTCTTGGTTCTGCTATAGGCCGAATTCCAGATGTCCTCTCTTCTACCTTCTGTTTTTGGCCATGACCCTAAAGGCTGGAACTTGAGTTGTCCCCAGATCCCAATTTAGGGCACATCTTTTCCTGTGCTTTCCGGCATAGTCCATCTAGAACCTCCAATGGCGAAGCTCCCCACACCAGCCAATGAGGCCTTTTGGCGTAGACACTTGGCTGTTGCTTGCTTGCCGTGGATTCTCCCAACAGCAGGCATCTCCCTAAGTGTTCTGCCCTCTTCGATCCCTATCCCAGACAAGACAGGAGCAGCAGACAGAGCCCCGTCCCTCCCTGTATCCTCTGAGCTGTAAGGTCCCTTGATACGTTACATGTTAAACAGGGCTGTGTCTCTAGGCCCTTGGTTTCACAATCAAATAATTCCCTTTTGGTTTCCGAGTGGAATTTTTGCTTTTATTTTTTAGGGTTTCTTGGCTTTTTCCTAAAAGCAATCAGTCTAAATTTGTCATCACACATCCCCCATTTCCGTGCCTCGGGGCCTCCTTTCATCCCCCGGAATCTGGAAACCATATGTGTGGGCAGAAACCCCCCAGCATCCCCCAGCGCCCTGGCCCAGCCGGGCCCTCACAGAGCCAGCATGTTCGCGGGGTAAGAGCTGACCCTCCAAGCTGGGACTAGAAAGGGAGTTTCTCTTTGGACCTTCCCCGCGTAAACTGTGGATAATTCGTGTGGTCTAGTGGTTAGGGCTAGAACACATGGGTTCTGCCCCCGGCGATCTCGTTGACTAACGCCAGAAGTCTGGGAAAGTCCAGTTGTCACCTTGGGGACTCAGTTTCCCTGCTTACTTGGGAACTCACCGCTTCCCTACCTCAATGTCTCTTTACCTGCCTGGCTAGAAAAAAAAAATCTTTATCCAGAATATCTCTTTACAGTCTAGGTCTTACCTACTGGGGACGCCGAAGCAGAAAGATCACAAATTCAGGGTCTGT